GGCCTTTGGACCCGGGTCCCTGGACCCGTAGCCCTGGCAGCTGGGGGCCCCCTCCAGCAGGTCTGGGGTTAGAGAGCTTCTGGAGGGGCTGAACGCAGGGGGAGCTCTGATTTTCCATGATAAAAAACCCAAAATCAAATACCAAAATGTATAGGTATTTAGAATTTATTTTATTTTAGTGTTTGAGGTACTGGTAGGCTTCAAAATTGCTTTAAAATTGTAAATGTATCAATAAAACATTGTGTTCAACTGACATACATATACATATATAGTGGTGTTTCACTTTAATCATGGATTTTGGGGTTTTTGTCAGATAATTTGTGATTTTTTTTATCAGAATGTTTTTTTTACCATGATGCCTGCTAATGAGGTAATCTGAATCGCATAATATGATTCATAATAATATGAACACAGTCAATATAGAAATATCTCAGTAAAACCCATAGTACATCACAGCACCCAAGTGTGATGCTCTGGCAGAAAAGGCCAATGTGGTCCTTGGTTGTGCGAAGGTGGGAGAAGGCAGGGGTAACGTGTAGGGGGTGCACGTGCACCCCCTGCAAAAAGGTGCCGCCAACACTGTGAGGTGGTCGCCGACCTGCGGGTGGTCGCCGACCCCTGGTCTGTGCCTGCCACCCCCCTCACCACTGCTGATAGTGCCGGTGGCATCTGTGGGAGCTCTCCGCTCACCACTGGCACTGTGCTCCCACTGCTGCCACCACCATGCTTCTGCCACTGCCAGCATAGCCGTGCCCCACCACAGCCGCTGGGGGCATGCACCGTTCATGGGAGAAGGGAATAAAAGTGAGGAGGTGAGTTTGCATCTTTGTGCAGTGTTAGTGAAACATACTGGGACACTGCATACAGTTCTGGTATCTATATTTTCAGATGAATGCTGAGAAGTTGTGAGAGGTGCAGAAAAGAGCCACAAAATAATGAAGGGCTGGAGAAAATGCTCAACAGTGGGAGATTTAAATTGCTCAATCTGGTGAGTTTACATTTTCAAAAAGATTAAGAGGTGACTTGATTACAGAATAGAAATACTTTAATGGGGAGGGGGCAGAGAATTACTAGGCATTAAGGGGCTTCTTTAACTCAGCAGAGAGTCATGGTAAGAACCAATGGCTGGAAGCTGAAACCAGAGAAATTCAAAATAAGGAATTTGACAGTTTTTCAACAGTGAGAGGACTGACCCTGGGAACAAATTACCATGGGAAATGGTTGGTTTGCTTATTGATATCTTCAGATATAGACTGGATGTCTTGCTGGAAGATATATTTTAGCCAAAGACAAGTTACGGGGCTCAGTACAGGACTATCAGGGTGAAAATTAATGGCCTCTGCTATATAGGAGGTCAGGCTAGGTGACCTAATTGTCCTTTCTGGCCTTAAACATGAACTGGCTCACTGTGTGAGCTTGGGTATGCCACTGTGTACTTTGGTTTCTCCTTCTATAAGTGGGTATCATAAGATTCCACAGGGGCTAGTTTTTAAACAGGTTGTATAATGTGCACTGAGATCTTTGGATAGAAGCTGCTCTATAAGGAGAATTTAGTATTATCATGCTAGTCCTTGCCCCTTGCTCTCTGTCATAAAAAAACAGGCAAGAAAAGCAATTGGCTTCCCTATATAGTCACTTTTGTCCCTTCAGTTTTGTTGCTTCCAACTGTTTATTTGTTATGAGACTCTCCAGCAGTCAGAATTGCTGGTCTCTTTGCTCTGTTCCCCCTAGAATTTTTCAGCGGGCCTGATAATATCTTTCATTACACTGTATAGTGAGAATCCTTTTGCAGATCAATGTTTACCACCTCAGGCAGCACATTTTCAATAAAATCAGTGACAGCAGCTCTTGCTTGGACCTTATTAATCTTTCTGTGTTTGCTACGCCCCTGGTTCTCTAACAGCTGAAGGTATCTTTCGTGATTTCAAGTAAAGCTTTATTAAAAAGTGATCGGGTCCTTCAGAATTGTCACTGGCTCTGTTCTTTCATTTTGCCCATCTTTTCATTTTCTCAGCTTGCCTTTCAAATTTTTCCTCATGGCTTTCCTGCT